GGGGCTACTGGGTAGCTATGGGGGGGGGGGTGGAATGCTCAGATCTGCCCTCACAGAGAAGGGAGAGCTTGTACCTGAAGGCAGGCGGGGTGGGGGCTCTGCAACTTACCTGGCTGCTTCTTGCTCTGACTGAGGGCTGCTGGGAGCAGGGGGCAGGGCTTGTTGCATGTGCCCGCCCCCTGGGCTCCTTACTGCCGGAGCTCCGCTCCTGTGCGCTCCCGCAGGAAATGACCCCTGCTGCACGCATTTCAGCTAGATGGTGCCATTAACTTACCCAACAGAGCTGGAGAACACTGCATGACAAATGCAACCACCAACGCAGAGATGACCAAAGAGCCCAGGAGGTAACCCTGCAGGTAATTGCAAAGTGGATATTAGTTACAGCCTTAAAACGCCAGGCATTCAATCAAAGGACGACGGACTTGTACGCACCGGGAACAAATGCAAAACGTTCTTCACAAAAACCCTCAGGTGAAGATAAAGGGAAGCCAGCATGCACGGGCTAAGTGATTCTTGGTTGCTGTGATTCCAACACCTGCGGATGATAATGAACATGTCAATGAGATAGAAAAGCCATCTGTCAACATTCGGTCTAGAGGGGAACAGGAAATAGAACCTGCCCTGATGACTATGCAGAAGATAGGGATCCACCACGCTGATAGGAGCAGACTCATGATTCTTAAGCGGGTCCATAAGGGCAGGGAATAAGGGCGTGTCTTCCTTTTTAGGGAGAGTGAATGGTTGTCATTGATTCTTGTGGAGAAAGACAAAGTAGTGCCCTGAGAGGCTGAAACTGGGGGGGGGGAGGGTGCCACTGTGCAGACAACGTTGAGTTCCCTTGGCGGCATTTCAAGGAACCTTGCCTGCCACTGTGGAAACACCCACTGAGGAACCTTCAAAAGCTTCTAAGGAATACTAGTGCTCCTCAGAACACAGTTGGAAAACCACTGTCTTAGGCCTCTTCAGTACGGCACAGTCATTAGAGCACTGGTGTGACGGACTGCACTTTTCAAGAGGTTTAAAAGGGCTGTATAGACAACTACAGGACTGTGGAGGGTTAATGCTTCACAAACCCAGAGAGCCTTGAGTGACAGGCTGCTCCAGGCAATCTGATGGCATCAGCTGAGCAGAAAAAGTCTTGTGAGAGCAGGATGCTGAGGAGAGTCAGATCAGATTCCTGCCTTAACTGAGAAAAGACATGTGCTGAGACCGTCTTGAGACTAGCTCTGACAGAAAAGGGTTTAGTGCTGACAAAGTCAGATTTCAGCCGTGACTGAGTACAGTCTGGATTCTGCATTAGCTGAGTGCAGTTTGAACACAGACAGAGAACTGGGGGACAGTTTGGCAAGTGGGTTTGGGTAGTAGAAGAAGACTCCCATTCAGGCCAAAGGAAAGGGGATAGATCTTCTAGAGAGAGAAGATTCCCTACCCAGTCAAACACAAACAGTTATCTCTGAGGAGTGCAAAGATCCCTGTTCTAGTGTGATTAGAAGCTGCCTTTAGAGACCTAAACGTCTGTTAACAACTCAAGAAGTATACTGGTGTTCCAAGAGAAGGGGTTTGGGTCAGGGCTTTTTTTTTCTGGGGGAACACACCGGAATGGAGTTCCAGAACCTCTTCAACAAAATTATTTTTAAAATGTTTTAAAGCTCATGAGTTTTCAGCATACAGATTGAAAACTTCATTTCCCTCTTGAGAGTTCCAGCCCCTCTTTTTTTTTTTTTTTTTTTTAAAGCCTTCGTTTGGGTACTGAGAGGAGGGTACCAGCCTTCTGGGCACCAAAAGAGTCAGCTATTATCCAAATAAAGTATATTAGAGCATTTGGGAAAACACTGGAACAAAAGCCTCTCAAATATATAGATCTAAGGAAGTGTGAATAATTTCATAACTTCTCTTTAGCCTGATACATAAGAACAAAAGTCTGTGCATATACTGTTTTTACCTTAAATTTCAACCCCTGATTTCACCTGACTTTCCCAGTTTGGTGTAGTGGTTAAGTGCGCAGACGCTAATCTGGGAGAACCGGGTTTGATTCCCCATTCCTCCACTTGCACCTGCTGGATGACCTTGGGCAAGCCATCGTTCAGATAAGAGCTGCTCTTGAAAAAGAGCAGTTTCTGTCAGGGTTCTCTCAGCCCCACCTACCTCACAGGGTGTCTGTTGTGGGGAGGGGAAGGGAAAGGAGATAAGTCGCTCTGAGACACCTTTGGGTAGTGAAGGGCGGGGTATAAATCCAATCTCTTCTCTTCTTCTTCTCTTCTTGACGTTAAATAAAATCCTTTGTTATTTTTGAATGTTAAAAGTGTCTCAAGCAATGTTCCCTCTAAGCTGTGGAGTCCTGTGAGCAAAAATTCTACTCTGTGAGCCAGTGGCATTAAAGTTGTGAGTGAGTGATTTGGCTACTGCATGAATTAGTTAGCTCTGGAGCCATCCCTTCCTGAGCTGAGACAAAAACGTGTGAGCTGGAGACTAAAAAACTGTGAGCTAGCTCGCATTAACGCGGCTTAGAGGGAACACTGGTCTCAAGTGCCATTTTCAGTGGCTTCAGTAAAAGGGCAATTCTACCCCTTCCCTCAGGCTCCTGGGCTGAGCAAATAGCCATTATATCTTACTGACAGAGGGTGTGACAGCCAGGGTTTATTCAGGAGAGAAGAATACACGTTATGATGGATCCCGTCCACTTCCCTCCCTCAGAGGCTAGATTTTCCCTCCATTTTACTGTCCCCTCACAGACTAAGCAGCCCTGGTAGGGCTGCTTAGTCTGTGAGGGGACAGTAAAATGGAGGGAAAATCTAGCCTCTGAGGGAGGGAAGTGGACGGGATCCATCATAGTTGGACTAGGGCTGTAAGGACCTGGATTGCACACTTTGCCAAGAAGCTCACAGAATGTTTGAAACGAGGAGGGGGAGAGCCATGTTTGTTGCCCTGAAGTCCCTGGAGAAAGAGCAGAAGAGTCCAATAGACAGAGAACTACTGCCGGTTGGGACTGTGAGAGACAGACGGATTTCTGAGTTTAAATGAGGCAGGTTCATGTGTTAGGGTTGCCAGGACCACTCTAGCCACTGGCAGTGTGTGTGTGTGTGTGGGGAGGTGGAGTAGGGTTGCCACTTGCAGGTTGGGAAACTCCTGGAGATTTGGGGGTGGAGCCTGGGGAGGACAGGGAACCTCAGTGGGGTACAATGCCCTGCAGTCCACCCACCAAAGCAGCCATTTTCTCCAGGGGAATTGATCTCAGTAGTTTGCACATCTCTATACTAATAGCCGGAGCTGCGGTGGCTCAAGTGGTTAAGACGCTGAACTGCAGGCTGTGGAAGGTCGGTAGTTCAGCAGTTCGAGATCCGGGTTGCCGCATGACGGAGTGAGCTCCCGTCTCTAGTTCCAGCTCCTGCCAACCGAGCAGTTCAAAAGCAAGAAATGGCAAGTAGCTAAATAGGTACTGCTTCGGTGGAAAGGTAACAGCGTTCTGTGCGCCTTGGTGTTTAGTCATGCCGGTCACATGACCACGGAAACGTCTTCGGACAGCGCTGGCTCTTCGGCTTGGAGACGGAGATGAGCACCGCAACCCTAGAGTTGGACTCGACTGGATTTCGAGCAAGGGAATCTTTACCTTTACCTTTATACTAATAGTCAAGACGCCCCCTGCGTGCGGATATCTAAATCCGCACATTGGGGGATACCTAGGTGGCAAAGAGATTTGGAGCAGTCCCCAGATGTGCGGAAAAATCTGAAAAGTTTTAAAAACTATACGGGGGATATTTAAATCCCCCCCAAAGTAAAAGAGTCCCCTACACACGCGCACTTACCACTGCGAACTGTGGCAGGGGGAGAAGCCTTGGCGGGCCGGCGGCTGGGAGCTGCGGCCGTTGCTGTTGTCGGCGGGGGGGGGAGAGAAGCCCGGCGGACCACCTGCTTGGCTCACCTGCGGCCACCTCCTCCATGTGGAGCTCCTGCCACTTCAGTGGCTGGCCGCCCAGGAGCTGCGGGGAATACTCCCCCCCCCGCGAGTATCACGGGTCCCACCTCTTGCGAGCTATCATTCCGAGGGATCCCCAGGTCCCACCCAGAGGCTGGCATCCCTAAAAGTCCAGTGTCAGGAATGTTGCTGGTTTTATTGCATCTAACTGTTATATTTTCATATGGTTTCCAAACTCATTGTGCATAGTGCCAGCGTGGTGTAGTGATAAAGAGCAGTGGACTCTAATCTGGAGAGCCGGGTTTGATTCCCCACTCCTCCTCCTTCACGTGAAGCCTGTTGGGTGACCTTGGGCCAGTCACAGTTCTCTCAGAACTCTCTTAGCCCCACCTGCCTCACAAGGTGCCTGTTGTGGGGAGAGGAAGGGGATTGTAAGCTGCTTTGATACTCTTTAAGGTAGAGAAAAGCGGGGTCTAAAAATCTGCTCTTCTTCATATCACCTGGAATATGTCATCATTAGAAGAAGAAAATAAGTAAGATTACTCATGTCAAGTCTATAACTAATGGGAAATCAATGCCTGCATTTGCATTTATTTAGTTAAATCCCAGTTTTCTCCCAAAGCAGCTGAGAACATTCTTTTCCCCCTGTCCATTTTCTCACAACGACAACCCTATGAGGTAGGTCACACAGAGTATGTGATAGGCCCAAGGTCATCCAGCGAGCTCCATGGTAGAACTGGGGATTCGAACCCGGGTCTCCCAGGATACTCATCCAACACTCCACCCACTACATCACACTGGCTCTCAATGGAACATAGTTCAAACCTATATACAGACAAGCAGGAGCCAGAGCCAAATACATTATCTGCGACACAAATCATGAAAGAGAACAGCCTCACCTTTCGTAAAGCTTTTGAAGGATGGATATATTACTGGAATCAGTGGTTCTGTTGATGTCTAAATGATCTAAGATGTGATCAGGGATGGGATAACCTTCTTCCAGAAGAAGGGCCAAATTAAAGAACCCCTAAAAAAAATGTACAAGATATTACTAATGCTGTACATTACAACATAGCAGAAACAAGAAGGGAAAAAAACTGAACCTAAAAATAAACTCCAGAAACAAACAAAGTTTAGTGAAAAGGAGGGCCAATATTAAAATCTTACCATAAAAAGAAGTACATGTATTTATTGATAATAACAAATTTAAAACATATATAGGGGCCCAATTACAACCAATGTATATAAAACATAATAATATCAAGGGCTTAAAAAGTTGACCTTACGCGTTTCGGCCAAATAGGCCTTCCTCAGAGGCCATACATATGTGGCAAGATGGTTACTTTATGGTCCTTATTGAATCTATACTTTGTATATATTTCTGATTGTGTTTATGTGAATATAATTATTAACCATCTTTTTATGGTAAGATTTTAATATTGGCCTTCCTTTTCACTAACCTTTGTTTGGTTCTGGAGTACATTACAACATAACAGCCTTTCCGTTTGCATTCATGATGTTGTACTGATCCCACTTTACACCCAAAGGACTGAATCTGGGAAACTGTAACCTGTGCTGCACAAGTGTCAGTCCTGATGTAGCACTGTCGGCGAGGCGTCACATCTTTGTTATCAGAAAGATTATCAAAAAGTATAGCAACTAGATGGAACCTGAAACAGCAATGGTTCCCTTTTCTTTTTCTTATCCTGCCATTCTACGCAGTGCCAGAATGTCTACACAAGAACTGAAGCAGTGTTCCAAGACAGCCCTCCATTAGATTCTGAATCGCAGGCTCTGCTCGCAGAGGGCTTTTCTGTGCTTGCATTTTCCTTGCTTGTAAGTTCTTCTTTCTTTGGAGGGTTTTCTCTGTTCCACATGTGTTTTGCTCCCTCTAGTGTCCAGCATAAAAACCTGTGGTTTAAATCTACAGGGAGATATGCCAAACATAAACCTGTGTAATATTGCATTGACCACTAGAGGGAGCAAAGCACGTGCAGAACAGAAACCCCCCCTGAAGAAATGAACGTACAAGTGAGGAAAATGAGAACACGGGGGAAAAAACCCAAACCTAAGCAGGCCTACTCAGAAGTAAGTCCTATTTTATTCATTGGGGCTTACTGTCAGAAAAGTATTCTTAGGATTATGGTCAAAGAGTCTGAATGAGAGTCCACTTGTAAACTGCTTCCATCCAATTGGCACCGTGTGCCTCCAAGAGGCTACGCCGTCCACCAGTCTGGTCAACCCATTCCTGGGCAGACTTGACAGTATCGAAAAACAAAGAGTATCGAAAAACAAAGATGGTGCACAATAGAATTCTTATTCTTCTGTAAGAACTTTTACGCTTATGCAATGCTTCCATTGTGGGTGTTTCAAAATGTTCACAGTTACCAACACTCTTTCCGTAAGTGCTTGAAGGTACCATTTCTAAGGACTGTAAATCTCAAATGGCTTCTAAGGCTGAATTCCCCGCTAAGAAGATTTTGGGGGGGGACACGCATAATTCTTCATGGGTCAATGGCCATTCTAACAACAACAAATGATCATTTTCTCTCAAATAGCTATTCAAACGGGCGTCAGGCTCTCTGTGGATTTTAAAGCCCGCCTGCCATGGAGAGAGGGGTTCCCCTCTCTTTGATGTATGGGGTGGGGGCTAGACACCATAGTGGAGCCAAATGTCCCAGTGTCTTATTTGTTTGTTATTCTGTTTCCTTGTTATATAGAGGCTACGTGTCTAAAGGGGGGGATAGGCAAGTGTTAGTTTTGGTGGGAGGGATGCTCAGAGAGGAATACATGTTTAGTGTGGGGGGGGGGATAGTTGGCAGTTCTGGCGGGCGAATACTGTGGGGTGATTGGGTCCTGATCTTTATTGCTTCTGCTTGAAACCACTATACATGTAACCTTCTTGTGATTGTAGTTCTAACAAAGGACTTGTCCAGAATGGTATCTATCAACGATCTCAATAAAGTTAACTTCCTACAGACTGGCTGTCGTTGAGAACTGATTTAACCAGGTTTCTGACAATGGGGGGAAATGAGAGATGTTAACTTTGATAAATTTATCTGTCCGTGAGAGTCTACACAGGGTTGCCAGCTCTGGGTTGGGAAATACCTGGAGATTTTGGGGTGGAGCCTGGGGAGGGACCAGTAGAATCCAATGCCAACAGAGTCCGCCTTCCAAAGCAGCCATTTTCTCCAGGGGAACTGATCTCTGTCACCCAGAAACCAGTTGTAATTCCCGGAGATCTCCAGCTACCGTTAATGTTTACACATCTTAGCCAAAAGGCCTCTATTTGAGGACTATGTATTAAATGGATCTCCAGCCACCACCTGGAGGATGGCAACGCTATGTCTACAACTCCCTTTTAACCCAAAGGCATCAGCCACAATCCGATTGAAAGTGATACCCTTTATTGATTTAAACACTCTTTTTTGGGGGGTATTTTTTTATATGTGCGCGTGAGTATGTGCGTGTGTGTGTGCACCTGGATGTCATGGCAACCTCTGGTGACTGGAGAATATTCAGAGAGGTGGCTGAATCAAGCCTGCCCCTGCCTCCTGACTGCTGGTATTCCAAGGAGGTCTCCCATCCAAGTACTCGTCAGAATCGACCCTGCTTCGCTTCTGAGATCTGACGAGATCGGGCTGACCTGGGATATCCAGGTCAGAGCACTGATTTAAACATTCTTAATTCTCCGATAGGCCATTGTATCGGCTTATCTAATGCCTTGCTGTGGTATGTAATACTACCCTCTTTGTTCATTAAGGGCAAAGCTGCTTTTTGCGGGGGCATTTAGGAGGACCTGCCTCGTAGACCTCCAAGGGCCCAATGAAGCTTTAAGTCACATGCTAATTATCAGTGCAGGCAGTGAGCAATCTTGCCTTTGTGTCTCAGCTAACAACGGCCTACCTGTGCGTCTCCATCCAACGCTGCCTGGGCGTACATCCGTACTGAGACATCCAAGTCCTTGGATCGGTTCTGATATCCATAGTAGTAGAAATCTCCCACCTTCAAATAAACTGTGGAAGCAAGTAGCAAGGGTTCGTGTCGGTTATTCCAAGTTCTCAAGAGGCGGACGTTGGACACCTTGGTCCTAGAGACCGCTTCCAGAAACCAGAAACCACTGAGGGAGGACCTGCTTACAGGCACACACATATTCCTCCATGGTGGGTGTAATGTGTGTGAAGACAGCGCTGGGGTAGTATGTTTCAGTGGGAAGGCAGGCAGGGAGGAAAGGGTGAAAAATCCTCTTCTCCCCCTACGCTGCTCTCTCACTTGAGAAAGCAGCCCCGGTAGCTGCATTTGGAAAAGAAAAATGATCACGAAACGAAAGGTAACGTGTCGTTCTGTTCTCCTCAGCAATCTTCTCCATACAGCTCCAAACTTGACATTTCCCCGGCTTTTCCCAGCTAAAGTCAAGACTGAAAACAAGATTCCTTTCATACCCCCTCCCCCTGCGAGGCGGGTAGGTTATGACCAGTGCTCCCTCTAAGCTGAGTCAGTGTGAGCTAGCTCACAGTTTTTTAGCCTCCAGCTCACGCATTTTTGCCTTACCTCAGGAAGGAAAGCTCCAGAGCAAACTAATTTAGGCAGCAGCCAAATCGCTCGCTCACAGCTTTAATGCCAGGAGCTCGAAAAGTAGAATTTCTGCTCACAAGACTCCACAGCTTAGAGGGAGCCCTGCCCCTAATCCCAGTGGCTAGGAGGGGCCACCTGCCAGCATCGGCTATTGATTTGAATCCTGCGGCCTGCTGTCCAATGGGCCTATTGCAAGGGAGGAGGTCATTTTGTACGACCAAAGAGCACACATTTCAATGCTATCTTGAAGACATTATTGTACATACCAAAGGAAGGAGCGTTGTGTTGAGAAACTGAGAGATTATAGTATCTCCACACGCAGTCAGTAGCCAAGTATCTTTTTGCCACATTCTGGGAGGGAAGAGGCAGGGAGGGAGAGAGGGGGTCTCAGGTGGCGTTACAAGCAACATTTTCCCTTTCCTCTGTCCAAGAAAAGCTCTATAACGCAATGCCTTGAGCAGGACAACAATCTGACTTCTCATTTATAGTCTCTATTTATTTCCCATAAGCCAAAAGGAATATTTTTTTGGCAACATCTGAAGTTATATTAGGATTTTGATCTGAGAAGAGGAAAGGGCCCCCCCTCCCCCCCTCGGATTGAAATCACTGAAATTCACCAGCCAAGGCAGAATAAAATGGCATCTTAGATTAGACTATAGAGGACATTCTGATAAGATATGAGAAACTGAATCTATTTTGCCAAGGGAGGAGGAGGGGGAGGAGGAGGAAGAAGAAGAAGAGGAGGAGGAGGAAGAAGAAGAAAGAAGAAGAGGAGGAGGAGGAGGAAGAGGAGGAGTAGTAGTTTGGATTTATACCCCGCCCTTCACTACCCAAAGATGTCTCAGAGCAGCTTACAAACTCCTTTCCCTTCCCCTCCCCTCCCCAAAAGAGACACCCTGTGAGGTGGGTGGGGCTGAGAGAGCTCTTCCAACACCTGCTCGTGAGAGAACAGCTCTGAAAGAACTTGTGACTCACCCAAGGACACATCAGCAGCTGCAAGTGGAGGAGTGGGGAATCAAACCCGGTTCTCCCAGATTAGAGTCCGCGCACTTCACCACGACACCAAACTGGAGCAAATTCTATCAAAGTAGGGAAGATGCAAAGAGCAGCCTCTCATAAGCACCGTTGAATCGGCACTCACTGGAGCAAGAGTAAAAGCCCTGAGTAGACCGGGTAAGGTCAGGTGATCAGCATAGGAGGGAACGAGAATCAGGGGGAAGTCTTCCAAAAAACTGTGAAGGACAGCAACATTTTTAAAGGTTTAAGATGGAAAGCAGTTGTGAAAACATTAACTTACTGGTCTCTCTTCGCAGAGGTGTGCTAAATTGGTCTGCGACACTTCGATCCCGGTCTCTGCAGACAGAATGTAATACAGCAAGGCCTCGTGCCTAAAATGTGAGAGGTGGGTCAGAATAATAATTTTAAAAAGGAGGCCGAATGAAGACAATCGGAAATCAGTGTGGTTTTCAAGATGTATTCCAGGAAACCCTCTTTGGAAACTTGTCAGGGCTTTCTTAGAAGGTCAGTAACGACGGAGGAACTTCTCCCAAACATACCCGACCTACCTCTTCAGAGCCAGTTTGATTGTAGTGGTTAGGAGCGCAGACTCTAATCTGGGAGAACCAGGTTTGATTCCCCCACTCCTCCCACTTGCAGCTGCTCGTGTGACCTTGGGTCACTCACAAGTTTCCTCAGAGAGCTGTTCTCTCATGGACAGTTCTCCAAAGAGCTCTCCCAGCCCCACCTACCTCACAGGGTGCCTGTTGGGGGGGGGGGGGGGGGAAGGGGGCCGAGCCTCGCCGCCATGGCCCATGCGGCCCTGGAACGGGCGGCGAGCGGCCAGTGGAGAGACAGACAAGGCCGCGGCGGGGGAGAGGGGCCGAGGGGGCTGAGAGGGGAAGGGAAAGGAGTTTGTAAGCCGCTCTGAGACTCCTTTGGGTAGTGAAGGGCCATGGGGTATAAATCCAATCTCCTCTTCTTCTACTACTACTACTGTTTTTCCTCTGCCACTGCAGAAGGGTGTTGGCTAGGGTTTCCAACCTCCAGGGGGTGGCTGGAGATCTCCAGGGATTACAACTGATCTGCAGGTGACAGAGATCAGTTTCCCTGGAGAAAATGGCTGCTTTGAAGGTGGAGCCTTTGGCATTATACCCCTATGAGACCCTCCCCAAAACCCACCATCCTCAGGCTCCACCCCCCCCCAAATCTCCAGGTAATTCCCACGTCAGAGCTGGCAACCTCAGTCTTGAGGGCAGGGGTCATTTCATAGAAAAAGAGGTGCAGGAGCTCATTAGCATAACTCATTAGCGTAACTCGTTTGCATATGCTACGCCCCCTGACGTCACCGGAAGTGTGTCAGAAGGCAACACCCACCACTCAGGCTCCACTGAACTCTTTTGGATTGCTAGTTATGGGGGGGGGGGGGTGCCCTCACAGAGGAGGGAGAGCTTGTACCTGAATAAAACTTGGTCTTAAAGGTGCCACTGGACTTTTTGGGCCGGGGGGCCGGGGGGGGGGCCTCTGCAACTTACCTGGCTGCTTCTTGCTCTGACTGAGGGCTGCTGGGAGCAGGGGGTGGGGCTTGTTTCATGTGCCCACCCCCTGGGCTCTTTACTGCCGGAGCTCCGCTCCTGTGCGCTCCTGCAGGAAATGACCCCTGGATGAGTGCATTCTCCCTTCATTGGGGCAACAAGGAGGCCCAGCAGGCCAGACCATGACTTCATTGGGGCACTTTAGTGGCGTATGCACCCCGCAAATGGTGTGCACCCCAAAACACTCTCCCCAAATTTCCTACAAACCAGGAAGTTCCTGAGAAGACAAATCTACGTAGGAAGAGTTTGAGAGGTGCAAGTCTAAAAGATCCCCAATATTAAAGGTGTAACAGTGGTACGACCCAGTTAGTAGGGTCGCCCACTTTGGCTTGGGAAATTCCTGGAGATTCAGGGGTGACACCTGGGGAAGACAGAATTTGGGGAGGGAAGGGGACTCCATGGGGATATGGTTCCATAGGGTCTACTCTCCACAGATGCCATTTCCTCCAGGGGAACTGATCTCTGTTGCCCAGAGAGCAGTTTATAATAGCAGGTGTCCAGTCACCAGGTTGGCAGCCCTGCCAGTTAGTCCAGTCCCTCTGGGGAAAGGTGGCTGGGGCAAAGGGCTCTGTCCTCCACGCTGGTTCACCCCCAGCGCTTCACATCATATGCCCACCCAACCCTCTTCCCCCGGCCTTATATGAATTTAGCAGTGATCTGATTCTGACACACAGATCTTCTAAGGCCGGAACAGTCGGGGCAGGGCTTGGAAGGCAACAACAGCCGCTCTAATGCAACACCTCCCTCTGCTGGCCAAATCACAAACAGGGACCGTTGTTAGTTGCGTCATTTCGTTTGGGATTCGTTGGTTTAGCTTTGTCTTTTCATTTGGGTGCTTTCTTCGGCTTTTTTTGGGATGCTTTCCTTGCAGATTGAAGAAGAAGAAGAGGAGGAGGAGGAGGAGGAGATTGGATTTATACCCCGCCCTTCACTATCCAAAGGAGTCTCAGAGCGGCTTACAAAGTCCTTCTCCTCCCCCTCCCCACAACAGGCACCCTGTGAGCAACGCTCCCTCTAAGCTGTGGAGTCTTGTGAGCAAAAATTCTACTTTGTGAGCTACTGGCATTAAAGTTGAGAGCGAGCGATTTGGCTGCTGCATAAATTAGTTTCCTCTGGAGCCCTTCTTCCTGAGCTAAGGCAAAAATGTGTGAGCCGGAGGCTAAAAAACTGTGAGCTAGCTCACACTAACTCAACTTAGAGGGAACATTGCCGGTGAGGTAGGTGGGGCTGAGAGAGCTCTTGACAGAAACTGCTCTTTTTCCAAGAACAGCTCTTATCAGAACTACGGCTTGCCCAAGGTCATCCAGCCAGGTGCAAGGGGAGGAGTGGGGAATCAAACCCGGTTCTCCCAGATTAGAATCTGCGCACTTTAACCACTACACCATACTGGCACTACAACAATCTGGCTCTTTTAGCGCTTTTCTAGCATTATATTTTTGGCACTCCTACTGGCTTTAAAAGGAAGAACTAGACAGATTTCGTGGAGGATGGGTCTATCAGTGGCTACTAGCCATGGTGACCATAGTCCCACTGTACACTGCATTGGTCAGGCCGCACCTGGAGTATTGTGTGCAGTTCTGGAGGCCTCACTTCAAAAAGGATGTGGAATGGAGCCGGGGCAGAGGAGAGCGACGAGGATGATCAGGGGTCTGGAGACCAATGCTCCCTCTAAGCTGTGGAGTCTTGTGAGCAAAAATTCTACTTTGTGAGCTACTGGCAATAAAGTTGTGAGCAAGTGATTTGGCTACTGCATAAGTTAGTTTGCTCTAGAGCCCTCCTTCTGGAGCGAAGACAAAAATCTGTGAGCTGAAGGCTAAAAAACTGTGAGCTAGCTCACACTAGGAGCTGCGGTGGCTCAAGTGGTTAAGACGCTGAACTGCAGGCTGTGAAAGGTCAGTAGTTCAGCAGTTCAAGACCCGGGTGCCGCATGATGGAGTGAGCTCCCGTCTCTAGTTCCAGCTCCTGCCAACCTAGCAGTTCGAAAGCAAGAAATTGCAAGTAGAGAAATAGGTACCACTTTGGTGGGAAGGTAACAGCGTTCCGTGCGCCTCGGTGTTTAGTCATGCCGCCCACATGACCACGGAAACGTCTTCGGACAGCGCTGGCTCTTCGGCTTAGAAACGGAGATGAGCACCGCAACCCTAGAGTCGGATTCAACTGGCTTTCGAGCAAGGGAACCTTTACCTTTACCTAGCTCACACTAACTCAGCTTAGAGGGAATACTGCTGGAGACCCAGTCCTATGCGGAAAGGCTGAGGGACTTGGGAGAAGAGGAGGTGGGGGGGGGGGACACAGGAATTGCTCTCTTGAAGGATCTGAAGGACTGTGTCACTTTATTTATTTATGTTTGGATTTATATCCCGCCCTACCCCGAAGGCTCAGGGCAGCTGACAAGGGCACTAAGTGCCAAGGTTATAACAATAAAACACATAATAAAACACTTAGAGGAGGGCAGGGAATTGTCCCTGTTGGCAGCAGAGGACAGGACTCGCAAGAATGGGTTTAAATTGCGGGAGGGAAGGTACCAGCTGGATGTTAGGGGAAAATTATTTTACAGTCAGAGTTGTGCAACAGCGGAATGGGCCGCCCGGGGAGGTGGTGAGCTCCCCTTCACTGGCCGTCTTCAAGCAGCGGCTGGACAAACACTTGTGAGGGATGCTCTAGGCTGATCCTGCACTGATCAGGGGTTGGACCAGTTGGCCTGTCGGGCCCCTTCCAACTCTGTGATTCTATGAACATCAGAGGAAGGCCTCAGCCTTTATGTCCTGTGGTTGGCCCTCTGAGGTAACTGGCAGGCCACCGTGTTAGACGGGATGCTGGAGTGGGTGGACCACTGGTCTGATCCAGCAGGGCTCTTCTTATATTCTGCTTACCTTGCCTTGCATGCCAGGAGAGTGTGCTTGCTGTGATCCTCCCAACATGCACCATGGCCATTTCGTGTGAACAAGGCAGGGTGTGTGTTTCCCACCTTCAATACGCATGATCAGAATCGGGCTGCCAGCCCCCCTAGGGGTAGGTGGGAGATCTCCCATCCCCAGATCCCGTTGCCTGCCATTGCTTGGAGCAGCAGCAGGGGGATTTTTAAAAAAATGCAGGGTGATTTCCCACAAGCGCTGCTCCGCGCTCACTCTTCTCTTTGCCCCAATGGTACGTGTCAATTTCACACAAGCTGCCGCGTGGCCGCATTTTGCCCCGCAGTTTCGTGCAATTTCCCCCGCGTCTACTCAATCCTGTTTTTTGAGGACTGAGTAGACACGGGGAAAATCGCGCGAAGCTGCGGGGCAAAATGCGGCCGCGCAGCAGCTTGTGTGAAATTGACACGTACCATCGGGGCAAAAGGGAGGAGTGAGCGCGGAGCAGCGCTTGTGGGAAATCACCTGCGCAGCCTTATGTACTTACCAGAAGTGAGAAAGGGTAGCTCTAGGAATCACTGGTTTTACAACAGTGGCGATTCCAGGAGCTACCCCCTTGTCCCTTTCAGTCAGGACTTCTGGTAAGTACACAAGGCTGCGTTTTTAAAAGGTTATCATAGAATCATAGAATCACAGCGTTGGAAGGCACCATACAGGGCATCTAGTCCACCCTGTGCTCAGACCCAGCCCTGTGAGGAAAGCCTGAGGGATTTGGGAATGTTTAGTCTGGAGAAGAGGAGGTTGAGGGGGGGACGGGACAGGACTGCTCTCTAGAAGTCTTTGAAGGGCTCTCCCTTAGAGGAGGGCAGGGAGCTGTTCCTGTGGGCAGCAGAGGAGAGGACTCGCAAGAATGGGTTGAAATGAAGGGCGGGAAGGTGCCGGCTGGATCTTAGGGAAAACTCTTTTACAGTCGGAGTTGTGCAACAGTGGCATCAGCTGCCTCGGGAGGTGGTGAGCTCCCCCCACTGGCAGTCTTCAAGCAGCGGCTGGACAAACCCTCGTCAGGGATACTCACTGAGCAGGGGGTTGGATTAGCAGGGGGTTGGCCCCTTCCAACTCTGTCATTCTATGATAATCTTTAAAAAAAACAACGCAGCCTTGTGTACTTACCAGAAGTCCTGACTGAAAGGGACAAGGGGGTAGCTCCTGGAATCGTCGGAGACGCTGTTGTAAAACCGGTGATCCCTAGAGCTACCCTTTCCCACTTCTGGTAAGTACGCAAGGCTGCATTTTTTTTGAAGATTATCAGGGATGCCCTAGGCCAGTGGTGGCGAACCTATGGCACGGGTGCCAGAGGTGGCACTCAGAGCCCTCTCTGTGGGCACGCGTGCCATCGCCCCAACCAGGCCCAGACCATCATTAAAGGGTCGAATCCTCTGCCAAATGATTTTAAGTCAATGAAAGCATTTGGGATTGCTTTCCTTACTTTGTTTGGATCATCTTAAGTTAATGTATGAGTTGTTTTTTCTAAAGTAAAACCTCAGTATTCAGGTTAAATGGCCGTGTTGGCACTTTGCGATCAATAAGTGGGTTCTGGGTTGCAGTTTGGGCACTCAGTCTCTAAAAGGTTCGCCATCACTGCTCTCGGCGGACCCTACACTGAATCACACAATCTCAGAGTTGGAAGGGGCCATATAGATCATCGAGTCCAACCCCCACACAGAGATCTAAAAGCAGCACGGGTTACAGGAATGGGAAAGGAGGAAGAAGCGAAGCATGGATGTGCCCGCATGTCTTCCCTGATCGCAGCCCAATACAACTGCCTGGACATAAAAGAAAGTAAGTGTGGGAGAGTCTATCCCCCGCACAGGGAAAAGCAACACAAAGAGAGAATCACAGGAGAGAAGTCAAAAACAGTACAAGGACACTGTGATCGCTGTTCTATCATCTGAAGGTTATGGATACATCAGACAAAATTCAAAAGTCTTCAAACAGTCCACAAGCTGTATATCATATCCAATAAAGTGCTTTATGAATAATAGCTGTTTTGTTCTTTAACAGATGTGTCTTCAAATACTTCTTAAAGATATAAAGTGCATAAAGGTAAAGGTTTTCCCTTGCTCGAAAGCCAGCCGAGTCCGACTCTAGGGATGCGGTGCTCATCTCCGTTTCAAAGCCGAAGAGCCAGCGCTGTCCGAAGACGTTTCCGTGGTCACGTGGCCGGCATGACTAAACACCAAGGCTGTTACCTTCCCACCGAAGCGGTCCCTATTTATCTACTTGCAGTTTCTTGCTTTCAAACTGCTAGGTTGGCAGGAGATAAAGCGCATAGGTATCTTCAAACGCTTCCTTAGAGAACAAGACAGCTATTATTCATAAAGCACTTTTGTGGATATGATATCCAGCTGGTGGGCTGTTTGAACACTTGAACTTTTGCACACGGTCCCTTATCTGAGTGAGGTTTGTTCTTGCAGGTGTTGAAACTAATGATGCAATGCACACCACATTTCTTATTGCCCTTAGTATCTACCACTGTACACTGTGAATACCCTTAAGAGTTTTGTTGTTGTTCAGTCGCCCAGTCGAGTCCGACTCTTCGCAACCCCATGGACCAGCTACACCCAGGCCTTCCTGTCTTCCGCCGTCCTCTGAAGTTGGCTCAATTTCATGTTCGTTGCATCTTTGACACTGTCTAACGATCTCATCCTTTGCCGTCCCCGTCTTCTTTGACCTTCAATCTTTCCAAGCATCAGGGTCTTCTCCAGTGAGTGCTCCCTTCTCATTTGGTGGCCAAAGTATTTGAGCTTCAGTTTCATTATCTGGCCTTCCAGGGAACAGTCAGGGTTGATTTCATTGAGGATTGACTGATTTGATCTTCTTGCAGTCCAAGGGACTCTCAAGAGTCTTCTCCAGCACCATAGTTCAAAAGAATCTATTCTTCGGCGCTCGGCCTTCCTTATAGTCCAACTCTTGCAGCCATACATGACTACTGGGAATACCATTGCTTTGACCATGCGGACTTTTGTTGGCAGGGTGATGTCTCTACTTTTTATCATGCTGTTTAGGTTCGCCATTGCTTTCCTCCCAAGGAGCAGGCGTCTTTTAATTTCATGGCTGCTGTCACAGTCTGCGGTGATCTGGGATCCCAGGAACGTGAAGTCTGTCACTACTCCCACAACTTCCCCTTCTATTTGCCAAGGAGTGATGGGGCCGGATGCCATGATCTTAGTTTTTTTGATGTTGAGCTTCAAGCCCACTTTTGCACTCTCCTCTTTTACTCTGAGCAAGAGGCTCTTAAGGTCCTTAAGAGTTACATATGAGTATATTCGTAAAATTCAATCACGGTGTCTTTGTATTGTTTTTGCCATGCACAGAGGAGGCATGCTGTTCTGTCACCCTGTCGGTTCCACAGCAGCCAACACACACACACACACACACACACACACAGAAAATCAATATTTACTAGCAGAACAGGAACGTACCATGACAAATCCAGATAAGCATTGAGGGCTTTTCGGATGACGTGGCCCAAATAGCCATTCTTTTCTGCCACGTATTTTGCCCAGCTGCAAGTGAAAATGATACCAATAAAAGGAAAGATCTGCAGCCAAGTTTTTGGCTTGTAAATACCCAATGTGCACAATCCTGCTCCAAGAAACAGGCAACGCTCCCACTAAGCTGAGGAGTCTTGTGAGCAAAAATTCTACTTTGTGAGCTCCTGGCATTCAAAGTTGTGAGCGAGCCATTTGGCTACAGCATAAATTAGTTTGGCTCTGGAGCCCTCCTTCCTGAGTGAAGACAAAAAATGTGTGAGCCCGAGGCTAAAAAACTGTGAGCTAGCTCACACTCACTCACCTTAGAGGGAGCACTGGAGGAGAAATCCCTGCCCACTTGTATGCTCTCTCTCTCTCTCTCTCTCTCTCTCTCTCTCTCTCTCTCTCTCTCCCTCCACTCCTCTCTCCTCTCTCTCTCTCTCTCTCTCTCTCTCTCTCTCTCTCTCTCTCTCTCTCTCTCTCTCTGTGCCTTCTCATTCAACCACTACTGTCCCCTTCTTGCGGGCCTGAATTTACACTTAAGCAGCGGGTGGCCCTCGCACAGTGAAGGAGGGAGTGGGCAGACCCTACCCTCCGCTACACAGCCCATAGAACACTGGAGCTGCTCCACAAGACCCCTTGAAGAAGACCAAGAGAAGATGCTTCTACGTGCGAGGATGTCTTTTCTGAAAGCGAAGGACTTTTTATGAAGGACTATCTCTTCGTCTCAGATTATAGAGGAAGACTACAAGAGAGTCAGAGACCTAGACAGGCAGGACACTGACACCCCCCCCCCCTTTGCTTTTACTGCTCTCTGATTGATGCTATCCCTTTGATGTGTACATTGCTACTCTTAGGGAAAGTTTTCTCCCTTCCGGCTTCTCCCTCACTCTCCACACAACGCCATGTTTCTCCATCTTGGTGACAGGAGAGCCGGATGTCTGTTATGCATCTCCATCCATCTAGCTAGTTAGACTAGATTAGAGATCCTATCTCTCCTCTAGCCTATCTAGAAGGCCTTAAAGAAAAGGACTCGTATTAGTTGTTCAGATATAAAGAGGCTCCGTGCAACTTTATTTCCTGCTCGCACACACACTGTGCCAGATGGCTCCTCTGCGCTCGTGAGCCTTTGTGCACTCTGCTACCGATATAGTCCAACACTCTTCCCAGAGGAAGCCTCCCAGGTTATCGGAGGGAAGTCAGAGAATGGAAGGCAGCCACCTTCTCCCTGGGGACCGGCAGCTGGCTTATGGCTGCTGCTCCCTGAGGAGAACACATGATGAATGGCATGTGTAGTTTGGCCCTCACGAATGCTGAATGAGAAAACACTTGCAGGAGGCGGGGCCAGCCACAAAATGGCTGCCCCAGTGAAGATCCTTGTGCTGTGATGGCAGCTGCTGCCAAAGCAAGTTTTTTAAAAAATCTGCACTACTAATCAGATCTCCAGATCGATGGGGAAAAAACCACTCGATTCCACTCACTTTCAATGCTCCCTCTAAGCTATTGGGAGCAAAAATTCTACTTTGTGAGCGACTGGCATTATAGTTGTGAGTGAGCGGTTTGCCTACTGCATCAATTAGTTTGCTCTGGAGCCATCCTTCCTGAGCTAAGACAAAAATGTGTGAGCCGGAGGCTAAAAAACTGTGAGCTCGCTCACACTAACTCAGCTTAGAGGGAACACTGCATCACTTTCTAAAAACACGTGGTGGGCACCACGTTGGTGACCCATGGTGCAGATTATGTACATTCTGGAGGAAACATGGGTTGTTTTCTAATTACATTAACTGTGAGTTCACATTCAGTTCAAATGAAATGAGTCCCCCCCCCTTTACAATTTTTAAAGCATTATTTACATTACTGCCTTTTCAGGGTCCCTAGGGAAGCTTGGCAAGTTTCCTGTGATATAATACAGAGAGCATCGCAACGTTCCTTCCATGTGGCCATCTTCCGCCGCTTTACGGAAATAATCAGCAGCAACAGTCTGTAAGAGAAAGAAAGCAGTCGGGAAAAAGATCACCTCCTCTAGTTAACTTGTCATCTGGTTTTAACTCATCAGACACAGGACAGGGGGGAAGACTTTAAAAAATATTCTAGCAAAGTGGATGAAGATACAAATTTGACATACCAAACGATACCACCATCTTCCTATCACATCCTTGAGAATCTGAGTACATGACAGAATATTGTCAGCAATGTCACAAAAAGAGATATTTCTGACGGAATTCACTGTTGACCAGGAGCACACAGGAGCGGAGCTCCAGCAATAAAGAGCCCAGGGGGTGGGCACATGCAAAAGCCCTGCCCCCTGCTCCCAGCAGCCCCAGGCCACGAGGAGCAAGAAGCTTCCTTCCTTCCTTCCTTCCTTCCTTCCTGCCTGCCTGCCTGCCTTCCCTTTACCTCCTTATTTCCTTCTCTTTCTTTCCCTCTTTCCC